ATAAGCAGGCTGGTTTCAGTGCTCGACACGCAGCACCTCATTGTGTTCAATCACATGTATCTCAGAAGACACATGAAAGGAAACCGATTGATTTTGCCTCCTGGATATTTACAGATGATTTTGGTTTTGAAAGAGATCAGTCTTATACATGAGAAGAATTCTTTCTGTAGCTGGGAGCAGGAACTTTGCAATTCGGAAAGAATATAGAAATTAATTGGTGGTGTTTCTCTAAAATTAAAATACAGATTTTTCTTTTTATTTATATATATATATTTAGAGATGCACTTACCACTGTTTGACTTTTCAGCGGGTCCATAGATGGAAACAATCAGCTCGTCATCAAAGGCAGATTCCAGCAGAAACAGATAGAGAATGTCTTAAGAAGATACATAAGTGAGTGTTTATTTGACTGGTGAATTATAAAAAATGTTCTTAAACAGTATTTATGCTGTTTATGTATTTATGTAAGTTTATGCAAATTTACACTGAATTATAAAATAATAATTTTCATACTATCGTATATATATATAGAATTATAATTAGGGGTGCACATATGTTTTTCAGCCTGGTTCTCAAAAAAGCATGGAGATTTGGTTTGGTCCTCACACTGCACACAGTGTGACCCATTAAATATAACTATAAAAATAAATAATAGTAGTGATTATATTATTGCACTTTATTTTTTAAATAAAATAATAAAGTGTGATACTATTCTATTTTAAAATAAAAAAGGAGTATTAAATAAAAATACACAATTATGGTAAACTTAAAAATAAAATGCTATTATTTACTTTTTTTATATATGAATTTTCATCATTTTCAAACTTAAATCTCAGGCCTATCCTAAGCAATGTGTTTTTGTCTTGCAGAGGAGTATGTGACGTGCCACACGTGTCGGTCTCCTGACACAATCTTGCAGAAGGACACGCGTCTGTATTTCCTGCAGTGTGAGACGTGTCACTCCCGCTGCTCTGTCGCCAGCATCAAGACCGGATTCCAGGCTGTGACGGGCAAGAGAGCGCAGCTGCGTGCCAAAGCCAACTAGCGCCTGTCCCTCCACCATCAAACACCTTACACGGCCCGTCTGAACACCTGTACTCCACCACCAAACTCAACAAATCCACTCACGCAGGTTACTACTCAATCTGTTCAGGAAGTCTGAAATTTAGATCAGAGTTCTCGGTCATCTCAAATGCATCATTTAATTTCAGCTCCTTAGAGCTCTGAAATGGCCTATGCACCTGAAGAGAGTGCTGATTTGTTCGGTCTGGCTGTGGAGCAGAGAGAGCGCAGAGCCTGGAGGATTTTATGAATGAACTATTGGTGAAATTTGTTGTTGCTGTATTACCTTCAGAAAAACAATTGAAATAAAATGCATACCAGCTGGGCAAACACATGCAGTGTATGTTTCTGGGAAGACGTCTTGCTTTACATTGAGAGAGTTTGAATGTGATTGAGAAATGAGTGTTAATTGGTCTGAAATGTACTGTATGATTATGTGAACAGACAATAATATAATATCTCTTAAAAAAACTGGAAGTGTTTTTTTTTTTAATTAAGAAAAATGCATTATACAGCTTGTACTTTTTCATAATTGAAACTAATAAGTTTGCTCATTCTCTAGATTCAGTTTTTTGATCTCATAAAGTGTGGATTAAAAATCAAATGAAAGGGAATCCTCCATATTATACACATATTTGGGAAAAAGTAATTTTAAGGTTTTTAGATCACTGTAATCCAAAAAAAAGAAGGGAATTGTTCTAAATTGTTTTTATGCTCCATATACAACTATTTGAGGAAGAAAAGTAATTTTAGTAAATTTTTGTCGCTGTCATCTAAAAATCTTTAAAAAAAGGACTTTAAAGAGAATTGTTGCAAATTTTGTTACTTTTGTGCTCCATATACAGCTGTTTGAGGAAAAAGGTAATTTTAAGGCATTTTTATCACTGTCATCTAAAAATCTTTTCAAAAGTTAAATGGACTTCTCCATATTCAAATATTTGTAAAAAAAACAACAAAAAAAATTAAGGCGCTTAAACCACTTCTCTAAATCACTCATCTAAAAATCTTTAAAAAAGTTAATTGCATGCATTTTTTTTTCTTTTTTTGTACTGAATTTTTCATTTTTCTCAGTACATTTTCTGTTTTTCCACAGTATTCCACCAGCTAGCAACGGCTACTTTTTCTCTAAAACTGTCTTCAGTCATTCTACTTTAAAAATAGTTATTATAGAACGTTAACAAATTACATTAACATTAAAGGGTATTAGGGGCGTTTTATATTTCAAATGAAATTGCCCAGAACTGATAATCACCCTGAAAAATGTGAAAAAAAAAAAGTAAGACAGTCATAGTTTTTACTGTGCATCGGTCCAAGTGAATCCAGTCTTTGCCTGTTTGAGCTCTATAGAGCCTCAAAATCCCACTGACATAAATCAAGGACTGTTATTCTGACACCCAGCATTCCGGTGTATTCCTATACATGTGATACTCTAACCCAAACACCCTCAGTGCCGTGGGCCTCTTTCTGTAAACCAACACACTTGTTTATGCGACTGCTCAAAGTATGACTGCTGAATGAGAGTTTGATGTGTCAGTCAGTCAGTCAGTCATCCTGGAGCAAAACACATTTGTAAAAAGTAAATATAAAACGTGACCCTCATCAGTGCGCACAATGCAAACAGATCCATATTTTTCCACCACATCAAGTATGTTTGAAGGATGGGGCCTTTTCTCATCATGTTCAGGAGAAATCACTGGCACCAGTAAAATTGCTAAATTGCTTCCTAATGCTAGTTCCTTATTAACTGGCGTCTGTTGCTGTACCTGGCTATTTTCAATTTTTTGTGAGTTAAAGTAGTTCCATCCATACAACATGTGTTTTGGCAGTGATTAAAGGCATTACCAGCTCCAGGGATGAGAAGGAGAGTCATAGCAGCGGCTTCTGGTTAACATCCTACATCACTCACTTATAAGGTGACATGGGGATGAATAATGAGCAGGGTTTCTTGACTGACCCGGACATGGCTGTCTCTGCTGCATGGGAGGAAATGTGTTGGGAGTGCAATAAAAGCATAGCTGAAGCCAAAACGTTTTAGCGGAATTTAGTTGTTTATTTGTTGCCAAATGTTTGAGTTTTGACATGCTTCAATGATTTAGAAATTTCTCTGCATTATGGCATTATCTTTAATTGTAGGGGCCGTTATGTCTTAAAGCCTGAATGATAGATACTGGAAATCACATGCAAAACCAGAATCCTAACCACTTATCCTTAAATAACTTGTCTTAATATTTTTTCCCCTCTTAATTCAGAGTTGCATAACCAGCCATTATATTAAGACCGTCTTAAAAATTCTTTCATCATGTACTCATGCTCATGTCATTCCGAACCTGTATGACTTTTATGGAAGTCCATTTCCACCACAAACTAAAAAAATTTAACCTCACGATTCAGACTTTTTTCTTACAATTCTATAAACGTGCAATTCCGTGAAAAAAAGTCTGAATTTTGAGACAACATTTTTTCCTCTCAATTTTGAGTTTATATCTCGCAATTCTGACTTTTTTTCACAGAATTGCACGTTTATAGAATTGTAAGAAAAAAGTCTGAATCATGAGATGATTAATTTTTTTAGTTTACATGTAACAATTCACCTTTTTTGTAAAAAGTAATTGTGACTTTATCTCACAATTTTGTCCGGAATTGCAAGTTGCAATTCTAAGTTTATCTCAAAATTCTGACTTTGTTCTTTGAATTGCAAGATAATTTCTTAGAATTTTTAAAATATAGACACGTAGAGAAAAGTGAGAATTGTGATGTAAAATCAATTCTGAGAATAAGAAGTTTGTGTTTTTGTATCATTTTTCTGACTTTTTTTTTTGTGGCTGAGGTGGAAACCAGCTTCCACACTTTTTCTTTTGCAAAACAAAATAATTTAAGGTTTTTAAGTCATACGTAAGTGTGTAGTTTTAACCAGTAGGTCCAATTATGACATTCTGATTAAACATTATGAAGTCAATAAAAAAAGAAAAGAAAAGAAACATGCATGGATGAATTGTTTACAATAAGATCTGTAACAAGCATTTAGAAAATAGATTCAGGCCTACTTTAAAAAAAGTTCAACTTTACAAAATGTATCGACAGCTGCTCTTTCAAATGAGGCAGTTGTGTTGTTCTTGTAAATGTTTTGGACCTCAGTGATTGCTGTTAAAAAAGCAAAGTAAAAAAAAAAACAGTTTGGACGTATGACAGTATTTCTGTGCCAAAAATCTTACTTCCGGGTTCGTACAAGTTTCGGAGAGTTTTTTTCGATCATGGCTCTTCATGACGTAGAAGAGGGGGGAACTCCTTATATGGGCATTTCTCCCGGAAAAACGCGCCTGTGCACGCATTGACCAGAGCAAGAGCGAGATCGCGCCCATCAACAAGACTACTCTATAGGTACTTAAGATTAACATGAGATTGGGTGAAACTGTGTTATGTCCCCTTTAAAAGTAAAGAATATATTAGACTAGGTGCTGAGGATTAGCCTATATATTAGCATTCCTAGCGGGCAACATTTAAACACGTGAAGAAAGATGTTTCACAAGTCATCAGTTTATTTACATCTGTAAATATCTCTTGCAGTCTCGAAAGTGCAAGCAGAAGAAATATGCACATGTAATTAAAAATAGCCAACCATTCTGATTCCGACTGGCATATAAATAAAATGAAACCATTTCTGGAAAAGCACAAACAGACAGGAAAGAAGGAGGAACGGAAATAGGATGAGGTTATTTACATATGAGGCGCCCAAATGTGTAGAAAAATGCATGTTAATTGTGTTTTGCGGGGAGCATGAATGCAGAATGTCTCCTGATCCCCTTCTGTTGTTGTTATCAGGAACTGTGGCCTTTTTGTAATGGATTCCTGGTTTAGGGGACGTCCCCCGTTCTCCCTCCCACCAAACAGCTTGTTTAGCTGTCTGTCTCAATGACAGCTGATGCTGGCGTTTGACGGCACCTGTTGGTTTCAATGTCTTCCCGCTGAGTCTGTGTATTAAAAAAGTTTCCAGTCGACAGTGTTATCCAACTCCCTGCTGTAATAAATACAAAAAAAGGAAGACGAGCATTAAGATGTGATAGTGGATAAAAACAGCTATGACAAGAGATGTGCAAAGGAGGGGGGCTGAAATGAAAAGAGCTAACTGGATCTCCGTCAATACTCGCATGTGCTTTTTTTCTTCCCCAACTGCCCTTAAAGCTAAAAACCCAATATAAAGTCTGTTTTGTTGAAATTCAAGGACAACTAATACAGCAAACATCCAAAAAACACTGTCAGAAATCAATATATCGTGGTCAATTTACAGAAACTACAACCCATATGGACTAAATGGTCTTTTTTAAAAATATCTTTTATTGCACCAATCACCGGTGTGAAATCGATCAAGAGATTTTCTAAACAGGGAACCTGAAGTTCTCTATGGTCCAGAATGAGTGTTATCTGACTTTCAACATGTATAATTCTTCTAATGCACTCACTGATGCAAATCACTGCAATAACTGATATATATATATATATATATATATATATATAAAACATAATTTTTGACAATTCACTATTGTAACGTAAAAAGTATTTTGTCTAAAATATATTTATAATATTTCTAACTTACAATATTTCTAATATTTCTCTCCTTCTCTATCAATCTATATATGTGTGTGTGTGTGTGTATGTGTGTGTATGCATCACTGAGGTACTATTCTAGTTTTTACTAATATTTTGAATTAGGTGTATTTGTCATATTTTCTGTTTTCATTTTAATTTTAAATATGCTTATTTCGTTTTTAGTCATTTCTATTTCAGTTTTCATTTCAAGTCAAACTAAACAAAAATGAGAAATGTTGCCTTGGCAATTACCTGAAATTAGTTTAATTTTAATATTAAAGTTTATTTTATATCAAGTAATAGAAATGTTTTTTTTTTTTTTATAGTTTTAGATTTAGTTAATTATATTAACCCTGATATATATATAGTACTTATATAGTATTTTTTTAAAAATACAATATGCAAACCCCTCAGAGGACCTCAGATGATGCCAACCCTGAAACAACATACGAACTACCAAATTGTTCTACAATTATTGCATATAATAATTGCTGTTAATAGTGTTCATCGTCTGTTTGATTACGTCTTTAATTGATTTTTCCGTACATTTCTGCCATATGTACATTAACTGACAGTCACCACTGATAAGCTACCACTAAATATTGTAGAAACTTAATTTGCTGTAAAGTTGCTTTGCAACGATTTGTATCGTGAAAAGCGCTGTACAAATAAACTTGAATTGAATTGAATACACTAAATAAATTTAAATACTAAAAAAATTTTTTTTTAATCAATATTTTGTACATAATACAGGTCATTAATACAAATATGGGTGGAAAAATTGGTAACACTTTATTTTAAGGTGTCATTGTTAGAAGTTACATGTACTTACTATTATAATAACAATTAATTATGCATAATTACATGCAAGTAAACTGCACCTAAGCCAAATCCTAACCCTAACCATATAGTAAGTACATGTAGTTAATTAATATTACTCAGTACTTAAATGTATAGTTACACTGTACACCTTAAAATAAAGTGTAAACGGAAAATGTACTTGTCATTAAAGTAATGCAATAATGCAAAAAATCCTAAACATAGGCTTCATTTTTCTAATGCAAAATATGATTTCTTTCTTTCTTCTTTTGATTCTGTGGTGAAAAAGGACCTGGGTGATTTTTTCATGAGATTTAACCACAACAGCCTGACAGCCAATGTAAAGTCTCCTAATGCAGAGAATTTCATTGAGGCAAGCGTGACCAATCGCTAATTTGTGCTCAGTGTGATGTTAACTTTGTACTCCGTTAACTCCGTTACTGGTGGCAATAAGATTGTGGTCAGGCAGATTAGTCAGACAAACAGATTGGTGATGATCCACAAACAACACACAGAACGATCAGGTGGAAACCACCATCAGATTCCACATTGTCCTTTGTATTTATGTAGCCAAACATATGGCAATGTTTCTACTGAAACAGCAGAAGTTGAGACGCTACACCTTGAAAACAGATTAGTAAGAATAACCACAGCTACTTCCCTTTATTTTGATCAACTTAATGCTCATAGGTCACAGACGGGGATGGTGTTGTATGTGAAACTCTCTCAGACCACCAAAGAAGGACCTGATAAAGCAATGCTAACATAATCAGAACGAAACGGTTCTGATATTTTCTTGGCAAATACCCAGTAGTGTTCTCTGTCTGAATAAAATCAAAAGAGAGATCTGACCTCTGGAGAATTTGCAAAAATGTATTTCAGGGACCGTCTGGGGATGGAGTCGCCATTCTCCCGGGAGGGCAGCTCGGGACAGCTCGTTGGCTGCCCGGTTGAGCAGCCCAGGAATGTGAACAGCACGAAGCGACCTCAGATGCTTCTGACTCCAGAGGAGGAGGTGGCGGGCGAGTTGCAATAAGCGACGGGACTAGTACATGCTTGCCTCGTAAGCGCCTTTGAGGCGGCCCCGGGCAAGGTGCACTGCCAGCAACAGAATTTGGGTACCACCGACCGAGGTCATTGGTGGAAAGATTCTCCACCCGGCCCTCCTCCGGGGGAGGGAGTGGCAGTAGAGTAGTCAGGAGCAGAACGATGTGATCGCTCGGCTCCGAAGCGAAAAGCTGAATATGCGCTGCACCTGCTGCCTACTTATACTCACGCTGTGATCAGCAGCAGCTGGATGCAATAATCGCATGCCAATTTGCATTGGCTCGTTTAGTTTACACTCGAAGTAGATTGGTCCCTCTAAGCGAGATCCCAATTTCGTCGGTCCTCCGACGTGACGTCGAGAGTGACCGACTGAAAGGGAACTCATCTTCTGGATGAACATAATTTTTTTTAAGCTGTCTGGAGTTTTTGTGCCAATACTGTAAATCTGACAAGAACTCGAGAGGTTTTTAGTTTGAGATTATTCCATCTAACTGTTTTGTGTGAAAGTGTTAAACTGTTTTAAAATGGACTGGCTCATCAATCTATTTGAGCATACAAATATAACACGTAAACAAAACCTTTATTATTTGAAATTAGTGCTCTCAAACGATTAATCGCGGTTTTTGTTTGCATAATATATGTGCGTGTTCTGTGTATATTTATTATGTATATATTAGTATTTATTTAGTTAATATTTATTTTGAACAGTATACACTACCGTTCAAGAATTTGGGGTCAATAAGATTTTAATTCATTTTTAATACTTTTATTCAGAAGGGATCAATTAAATTGATCAAAAGAGACAGTAAAGACATTTGCATTTCACAAAAGATTTGTATCTCAAATAGTGCTGTCAAGCGATTAATCCAAAATAAAAGTTTTTGTTTACATAATATATGTATGTATGTTGTTATTATGTATATATAAATACACACACATGCATGTATATATTTCAGATTGAGATTATTCCATCTAACTGTTTTGTGTGAAAGTGTTAAACTGTTTTAAAATGGACTGGCTCATCAATCTATTTGAGCATACAAATATAACACGTAAACAAAACCTTTATTATTTGAAATTAGTGCTCTCAAACGATTAATCGCGGTTTTTGTTTGCATAATATATGTGCGTGTTCTGTGTATATTTATTATGTATATATTAGTATTTATTTAGTTAATATTTATTTTGAACAGTATACACTACCGTTCAAGAATTTGGGGTCAATAAGATTTTAATTCATTTTTAATACTTTTATTCAGAAGGGATCAATTAAATTGATCAAAAGAGACAGTAAAGACATTTGCATTTCACAAAAGATTTGTATCTCAAATAGTGCTGTCAAGCGATTAATCCAAAATAAAAGTTTTTGTTTACATAATATATGTATGTATGTTGTTATTATGTATATATAAATACACACACATGCATGTATATATTTCAGAAAAATATGTTATGTTTATATATTAAATATATTTATTTATAATATACATTTTATAAATATAAACATGTAAATATTTTCAAAAGATATACTGTATGTGTGTGTACTATTATACACATAATAAATATACACAGAACACACACATATATTATGCAAACAAAAACGTTTATTTTGTATGCCATTAATCGCGATGAATCGGTTGACAGCACTAATTTAAAATAAATTCTGTTCTTTTGAACTTTCTATTCATCAATAACTCTTGAAAAAACGTACCATGGTTTCCACAAAAATATTAAGCAGCACAACTGTTTACGAAATTGATAATAAGCATCCTAAAATGCATCAAATCAGCAAATTAGAATGATTTCTGAAGGATCGTGTGACACTGAAGATTGAAGTAATGATGCTGAAAATGTAACTTTGCATCACAGGGATGAATAAATTACATGATAAAATATATTTAAAATGGAAAACAGTTATTTTAAATTGTAATAATATTTCACAGTATTACTGATTTATTGTATTTTTGATAAGCATAAAGCATAAAAGACTTCTTTCAAAATCAATTAAAAAATCTTAACAACCCCACGTCTTTGAATGGCAGTATATAGATTGCTGTATGTTTGAAATCTTCTTTTGTGAGATGTTCGGCTTGAAAAGGTAGCTTTTTGTTCGACAAAACATTCAAAAGTCCTCACAGCTCAAGAAACTCCCAAATGATGTCCTGCTGCATGCTTAATGGATCTTTAAAATTGAACCGGATGAATTACCCTGTGGACCTTGATTTAGTGGTTTGTACTCACTAACTTCATTTTTACAATCTGTTTTCTGCATGAAGAACAATCCTGAAACTCAAGCTTGGAAACTTGTAAAACATCTCATGGTTTGAATTATTGCTGCAATCCAAGAATCCATTGTTCCAGCTTTGAGTTCTTGCCTTTTATTGAAGAATGGAATCCATTTCAGATATGTGATTGTTTTCCTGAAGAGAGAAGAGATAATAAATAATTTTTTTAGTGACTGTTAACTTTAACATTCCTATGGTACAATGTGTGAGCGTTTGATGATTTATAAAACTGATATGACACAGTGTTTTTAAGAACATATTCCCTACTCTCATAATCTCTGGTCTTCTGACCTTACAATATCATTTACGTCTCTCATTTCTCCTGCCTCTGTCCATACATCTCTTACCATGTCTTCGTCACAATCCTCGTGTGTGTGCTCCTCGCCCTCCTCCACATCACTGTGCTGCAGTTCCTCTGACTCTGAGCCTGACTCGTCCTGAGACAGTTCGCTCTTCATTTCATCTGCCTTCTGCAACTCTGTACACAGACAAACATTTATGTTTATATACATTTACGTACATTTACATACACAACATCAATAATTAAGCTACACTTAATAGCTTATATAGTTATAACAGTTATAATAGTTATAACTGGTGCTGTAACATGTCATCAGGCTTTTTAACATTGTAATGCCTGACACATAAAATAATAGTGAAAATATAACTTTTAAATATAAAAAAACAATGTTTGCATATGTATCATATTTGATACATTTGGCTTTTATGGCTCATATAGTATGATATAGTCAGAATATGACGCTCATACTCAAGGATTCAGAGGCCCAAACTAAGCAAAAATATGCAATTTGGTGCAGATGTTGATATTTCTATGGCCAAGAAGTAAGCTGAAATTCTAATAGCCTGTAATGTAAATCAGTGAGATCTTTATAACAGTAGCATATAGCAGACTACTTACATAAAATGCATAGAAATATCAGTTGTCACTATATTTCTCCCAAGTATATGTCATAGGAAGATATTCAAATGCTTAGGTTTATGATTAAAGCTGTATTTTTATTGTGGGGGGCAAAACAATGACATACAATACAATGATGATTGAGAGATAAACAAATAAGCATTACTCAAAAACCTGACTTGATACAATTGATCATGATTTTTCTAAAAAAAAATAAAAAATAAAGATTAATAAAAGGGCTGTCAATAGATTACAAATTTGATTAAAGGGACGGTGTGGTGATTAATTCATCTAATTATTCACATATTAATTGCACATCAAATTTGGTTGAGAATGTACCCACAAAAGAAAATTTAAAGCCATTATTGTGTTACATGAGAAAAGCATGCAATAGATATTACAAAAAGTAGCTGTAGAAAGATTTTTTTATTAATACGTAATTATGAAATTATGTTTAATGAAATTATACTCTAAATAAGAAATTAAACTGCCAGTAGGTGGCCGTAAATGTAATTGATTCATTCATTTGATTCATTCAAACGGCTGATTTGTTCAGGAATGAAATAAATGGCTCTCTTTTTGAATGGGCTATTGAGTCATTGGTTCACCTGATTTGTTCAAAACGGGGATTCATTTAGAAATTGTGTGCTGCTTGGAGACGCACAACAGTTCTGCAAAAACAATATTGTGTAGTATTTTAGAGAATATTTAGTTCCTATTTACTGAACCGTATAAAATCAATAACACATTTGCACTCGTGCTAAACTCGTGTGATATTGCACTCGTTGCTCGTGTGATATTGCTTACCTATATCACATTACATAAATGAGATAAAATATCATATAGGGGCGTTTTACCCCAATATGATGAATTTTAGGGGCATATGCCTGCATTTCGTCATGAAGTGAGTTGTTCCCCTACAACACCAATCAACTGTATAGAGCTCCGGACGTCACGTGACCCATTCTGTTTACACCACCTGGCAGGCAGGGACAGCCGGGAGCGAATATGAAATGAATGGCGCCAGCATGAGTTTCAAGGCAACAGAGTTCACTACGTACTTTAATTCAAAAGACATAGACATGTACATAGCAAAATTTAACAGATTAAGCAGAACCGATCCCTATAATGCCCCCGTGGTGTTTTTAACGTGTAGTCTATCAATAAAGGAACGGATAGATTTCCTGACCTGCAGTATCCTGAAATCGGGATGACCGCGGACTTGGCAACACTTTGTATAGGCTAGATGTTTTCAGTTTGAAAGCCGCAGACTGATCGGTGTATGACATAAAAGTCATCAAATTAAAAAGTTAATGCTTACTGGAGACGCGAACCGTTTCAAACGATTCAGTCCGATTTGGTGAACTGGTTCAACTGGTTAAATCGAACGATTCGTTCGTGAACCGGACATCACTATTATGTTGCTATAAGTGAGAGAGAGGGTGCTTCTCAATTCTTATTTGTGCATCCCTCGCGTCTTAGCTCCACCCCTTCAGGATGCGAGGGAAGGACGCAAGGAAAAGACGCGAGGATGGAAGAATTGAATCAAGTGAAATGATATATCCTCGCTCCCTTTAGCGTCATTTCAAAGCATCATCAGCTGTGCTAAAGGGATCTGCCCTTATGTTGTTAAAGTTTATTTAAGACATTCATAATAAATATTAATAAAGCAAGATGCCCTGTTTGAAATCTATGACATGCATGGTTTATTTAAAATGAAAAGGTAAAATATAAATGTCAATTATTGCAACAGATGTGAAGGGGGAGGAGAATTTAAACGTGCGTCAGGTTTTTCAATGTAAAACACCTCCGCAAAGGATACACCTGTGTATCCTCGCTCATAGCTCCTCAGGAAGCCTCCTCACTCCTCGATCATCGCGGTGCAATTAGAGAATTGAGACGTCCTTCAAGATGGCTGAGCTCGATCGATTTCCGGGTCGTAGGATGGAGGACGGAGGAGCGAGGAAACGAGGAGGGATATTGAGAAGCACTCACAGAGAGGAGCGCAAAAATAAAACCACGCCCCCCAATTCTATATTCCGTTTCAGCAGGAAATATGTCACTACACTGAAATAAAGTCGGCAGCAACTTCCGGTTCACTTTAAAATACTGCAAACTAAATAAAAGTTACTCTTACGTTTGCTTTATAAAAATCAGTAAAAATTTTGCAGCAAAAAGACTAAAGTATACCACGACCTGAAGGTGACCTGAACTTGGAATTATAAACTGTAATTTTTACACTAAAAATTATTTTGTTGTAAATAAAACAAAGATTATTAAAGTATGTTTTTACAGGAAAATACTATTTCATTCTTTCTGTTTCAAAATTTCTTGCCAATTCTTTGTAATTGTTTGTGAAATTTACTATCAATTCATGGGTGAAAATTGTTTCTACACCAAATTTTGCTTGCTAAAAAGTATAAAATATCAATCAGAGGGCAGAAGGCATGTATTAGATTGTGCACAACAGGTTTTTCAGAAAGGTTCTGATATGTTAATAATTTAGAGGCCTTTGGAATTTGCATATCAAACATGACAGTAATCTTTATAGGGTTAAAGATGCTGTGAGTGATTTCAGCTGTTGTAATGACGTAACTGTCTCTATTTCCACTGCTTAAACACAGCGAGTATATCAGTGTGTCGTTAGGGATTATCTGTTCTCTCCAGCAATGGGAGAACCACGGTCCACGGTCCAAATTCTCACATCCTAAACAACCAAGACACCTCTGTAGGGAGACATTTCAGGAGCAGACATGTAGAAAAACCGAAACTGGTTTCCATGTGTAAATAAACACAGGAAGCATGCTGCGTTCTGTGGTAATTCTCGTCAAATTGACAGCTGATGTGAAACAGAGGGAACAATCTGCAAAGTTATATTGGAGCCACTGAGCCGTAAAAGTGTAGAACCGTGAATGGTTCGTGTGACAGCGGCGGTGCTGCGCTGAGTCAGCGTTTTGCGCTCGGTCACTGCTCAGTGTGTTTGTGCGGAGAGCAAAATGCTTGCTGGGTTTTCCATGATTTAAAAAAAAAAACCCTTGAAAGCTTTTCTAAAATAATAATTACTGAGAGGAAAGTACAACAGGCGCATTCCAACAACCTTGAATTACCACCAAACAACCAAGCATAGTAGAGAATAATATAGTATTGTGTGCATACCATATATATATATATATATATATATATATATATATACTGTATGCATTATTGTTCAAATGTTTAGTCAGTTTTTTAATCAAGGATGTATGAAATTTGCATGAAAGTGACAATAAAGACTTTCACATTGTTACAAAAGATTTCTATTCAAGTAAATGCACTTTTGCAACTTTTGAAACAAATGTATTTTGGTTTCAGATGCAAAATTCACTTTTACATGGTGTTTGCATACATATGTCTCTTAGCTGTGTGCACACAACCACCCTACAATTATAAAAATCCATTCACTCCTTTCTTTTTATTCCCCAAAAAACTGAGTCTCAATTATCAAACTTTTTTTTTTAGGAATCTTTGATGAAAAGAAAGTTTAAAAGAATAGCATATATATAACCCTGGAGCACAAAAGCAGTCTTAAGTCGCTGGGGTATATTTGTAGCAATAGCCAAAAATACATTGTATGGGTCAAAATGATTGATTTTTCTTTTATGCCAAAAATCATCAGGATATTAAGTAAAGATCATGTTCCATGAAGATATTTTGTAAATTTCCTACTGTAAATATATTAAAACTTAATTTTTGATTAGTAATATGCATTGCTAAGAACTTTATATGGACAACTTTAAAGGCGATTTTCTCAATAGTTTGATTTTTTTGCACCCTCAGATTATCAAATAGTTTTATCTCTGCCAAATATTGTCCTATCCTAACAAACCATACATCAATGGAAAGCTTATTTATTCAGCTTTTGTATGATGTATAAAACGCAATTTATAAAAATGGACCCTTATGACTGGTTTTGTGGTTCAGGGTCACATATTTGAAATAAGAAATATTTTCCATCATTATAAATGTCTTACTTTTGATAAATTTAATGCATTTTTGCTGAATAAAATTATTACATTCATAAGCAAAAAAACCTTACTGACATAAAAATTTTGAAGAGAAGTATATGTTTGTGTGTATAGCAGTTATACAGATATATGACATATAGCATCACACCTGTGGCACAGTATTTGTCCTCTGTGATCTGGTCAAGGCGTCCCAGCAGCGCGTCGATGTTTGTCTTGATCTGTGTCAGTTCTGATTTGATAGCTTGCAGCTCGGTTGATTTCACTGCTCGCATGTACACACAAGTTTAAGAAAAGAACACAAATGTTTTAGATCATTAAATCAGGTTTATATATTGCCATGAAACCAAAACAGAAATAAAAGCAATACACTGGTATTTGGTTGTGGAACTATAATGGAGCACTGCCCAAGACAAAAGGTTCCTCTGCTTGCAAACATACTAAATACTAAACCCGGTATGTTAATCTGTCAAATGGCCCAAAGGCCGGTTCAAAAGATCAAGCAGTTCATAAATCATCTCAGCGCACTGAATCTGAGGAAGATCTTGAGCTGTCACGCAATGGAATCAAGGTATATTTCTGGACATTAACTATCTTAAAGATCTTTTGATGTTTCAGCATTCAACGATCCTAATAAACCATACATCAATGGAAAGCTTATTTATTCATGATGTATAAACCTCAATTTAGAAAAATTGACCCTTATGACTGGTTTTGTGGTCCAGGGTCACATATAGTATGTGTAGGTCAGTAACACAAACAGTAAATAGAAACATACAAAATAGAAACTGAACTTACACTTGTGTTTGATAGAGCTGTTGGGAAGGATAGTGGATCTGGTCAGGAGTTTGACAGGTAATGACTTCACCCTGCGGACGACCGGCACTGCCACACGGGGACGCTTTACTGGAACCGCTCTGGGCACTGGAGATACTCTGCCTCGGTACTCAAACAGTCTGGAGACAGAAAGAGACATATGAAGAAACTGCTTCATGCAAGCACATGACTTCTATCAATGAGTATATAGATCAAACGAATTCTAAAAATTCAGCATGTTACAAGAATTTTAGAAAAATATAAACATAAAATAAAATGATAATACACGTATAATTAATACTTCTATACTTTTCCTTTGCATACATAATACTTTTTTAAAACACTTGTTGTTTTCCATTGTTGTTATCGTTTACTAAAGCTAAAATGATTAAAAACTGTTTTCAATAATGGAGATAAATATGAAATAAAATGTAAATATTGGATGAAAAACAAAAAACTATTTATTATAAATGTTGTACAATATAATTACGAAAATGACTAAAACCGAAATAAATATAAAGCTTAATAGAAATAAAAAAAAATTCAAAAGAAATAAAAATACAAATTTAAAATATGAAAATAAAAGCTCATTCAAAATATTAATAAATACTGTAAAAAATATATATAAATACCAAAATAACACTGGTATTATCTTCTTTTTTTTTAATACAGTCATCGTTTTGTAAGGTCACCTCATTTGCTTTGTCGTAGAAGTTAAAGGAGAAGTGTGCTCATATATTGTTAGGGAAAGCAAGAGTGAAGTGCAATCTTTTTTAATTATTATTAATTTGAACAGAACACATAAATTAACAGCAACAGGATGAAACCAGTGACAGATATATACACACATATACAAGAAAAGAGAACGAAAAAGAAAGAAAAACAAACAAACAGGCTCTAGCTGTATGGATGTGGTAGTTAAAACAGGTACAGAGGTAAGTTAAATCCATAATATCATGAGTTGTGAAGTGCAATCTTTGAGTCATCTTACAGTGAGAGCATACCAGTTTTCCATCCATCATACAACAACTCCTCTTGAACAGAGTGGGAGATGCGTCCTACTCAAAGGAGCTCAACAACTCCATCTCATAGCGTAAACTGACAGCGTACGTCTTTGCATTGTGGCCAAATTAGCTGACATGAGGCCAAAAGCCAATAGTTTGCAATCCAAGTCAATCCTAGAGCTCTGCTGTCAGGGATGAAGTGAGAGAAGAAGATACTTTTGCCTTCAAAGAGAAGCATGTCTGCTGCCCTGACAAGAACCTGAAAGCAACCAGCTGGCTTGCCACATGCCATCTACGGGGCTTCACAGACTGAGCTGCAATCCTAGAGATCTAAATTATTGGATATGTTTGCTGTAAAATATCGACTGCAGTCAGCATCGCCCCAAAGATGGCTGTAAGTCGGGGAGCAGAGATCACAAGAGAGATATCAACAAACATGTCAGCTCATCATATGGACGCAATATCCCATACATCTGCAAACAAGTACGTCCAGCTGAGTCTCGCAGCAGGGTTTCCATAGCTACTACCGAAAAGGGACGCTGGCCAACCGCGTGCTCGCTGAGCCAAAGTTTGCTTAACGGGTTGTGGAGGGAGTTCTTGTGAAACGCATATTTTTTCCTCTGTCTTTCTTTCTGCAGCTTGCAGCTGTGTATGAGTGTTTTTATGAGAGCTCCTTTAATTCTGCCAAGTTGTGAGAAAATATATTATGACAGGAAGAGCCGTGTTAGAGAGAGAACACTGTGCCTGACTTCAATATAAGTCACTGCTGGGTTACTGCACTAAGAAATGCTCCATATAAAGCCTGACTGCTGGGTTAGGAGTTCAGGTCAGTCTATTTCAGCATGAGCAAAAAGTGCTTTTGTACTCAATCAGTGTACTATATGAGTATTTTTTCTTTAATAAGTAGATTTAGTGTGACGATCAATGCATATGACATTTTAGCAAATAGTCCCTTTCTGATGATTTTATCCAGCAGTCACAAGCAGTTGAAGGTAGTTGATCACAATACTATTATAAATGATTAAAAGTGACAGTAAAGTCATTTATAATGTTACAAAAATATATATTTAAAATAATTCTTTTGAGCTTTCTGTTCATCAAAGAATCCTGAAAAAAGTATCATGGTTTCCACAAAAATATTAAGCAGCACAACTGTTTTCAACATTGAAAATAATAAGAAATTATTTTTTGAGCATCAAATCAGCATATTAGAATGATTTTTGAAGGATCATGAGACTGGAGTAATGATGCTGAAAATTCAGCTTTAATATCACAGGAATAAATTACATTTTAATATATATTAAAACAGAAAACAGTTTCCTTAAATTGTAATATTATTTTACAATATTACCGTTTTTACAGTATATTTGACCAAATAAATGCCGCCTTTCTTTCAAAAACAGTAAAAAATCTTACCGATCAGAAAATGTTTTAAGGGTAGAGTAAGTTTATTTGGATTAAATTAAAGATGATCACAATGTACATAAATGAAGAATCAGAAGTCTGATAATATGCATATTAAATGTTAATATTGTCTTCCAAATATAAAGTTAAATGGCTATAAATTATCCATTTTGTAATCATTATGGAAAATGTCCATTTATTACAGGTGTAAAAAAAAGTATTGTCCATCACTATCACATACCCTGCTCTGGAAGGGTGCAAACACAAACAAATGGTGATGCAAACAGTGAAATGCTGCTTGGCCAATCAAATTACAGGACAATGACTGTTGTATATTGGCATATTATTATACCTGGACTGTAAGTTTATGGATTGGATGGGACTTTAGTGCATTTCCTGTATTTCAACAAAATCATTTGTGCAAAATCATGGACTTACCTGTCATAGAAGTCATCTCTGTAGTAATCATAGTCCAAATCATAACCGCTGCAGGGATTAAACACAAAAAATACATCATTTTAAATATAGGTGATTCACAGGACTTTAAAAAAAAAAAAAACCTTTGCAACATTAAAAGGAGACCAAAGCAACTTCCAGTCAATTTCAACTTAGAAGTTGTGAAGTTTTTACTAGATAAAAAGTAATTACACCTTTACACCATTATTGAAAAGGGGGAAAAATATACACTACATGTCACACTATACAGGGCAAGTTGTCACAGTGCAAACATGCAATTTATTTACACATGCTACTTTTATTTGAAATGCCAAAATTAATCTAAAACATATAAGCCACTAAAACATGCACTACTGTGCCAAAGTTAGGGGTAAGTAAACTTTTTTAATGTTTAACTTCAATTTTTTTTTTTTTTTTTTTTAAACAAGCACGTTTCTATTTAGGGCCCAAGCACCATGGTGCCATGACCCTCTTGGAATTGCTCAGTTTCTTCTTCTCCAAAATGAATCACATTTTTGAGGGCCTAAACATGCTTGAAAACACATGAAACGTTGCACACATGCCAGAAGTGGCGAATTTTATTTAATATTTTTTACGTCTGATACAGGTTTCAGAAATGGGTGTGGCAAAATGGCTCGATTCATGTACATGTGACACACCAATACCTACAAAAAAGTCTCTTGGAGCAAAATCCGAAACCCAACAGGAAGTCATTCATTTAGAATTTTCTTGGCAAATTTTGTGCCGTTTTTGCCATTTCCAGGCATTGTATTTTAACAAACTCCTCCTAGAGATTTAATCAGATCAACACCAAATTTGGTCAGTGTAATCATAAGGCCTTTGTCATGTTAAATTGCGAAGATCTGAAAAAGGAAGTTGCTATAACTCAGGCATACAATGTCCAATCGGCCCCAAACTTCACATGTTTGATAAGAGTCCTGTCCTGAAAACATCTACATGCCAATATTCAGTTATAATTCACAGCGCCACCTGCTGGCAACAGGAAATGTCATGTTTTACACTAACTAAAACATGCAATGTCCAATCTGCCCTAACTTTTTTGTTGCATAAGAGTCTTGGTCTGAAGACATCTAAAGGCCAATATTCCATTATAATCATAGCGCCACCTGTTGACAACAAGATATGTCACAGAGCCACCAGCTGGCAGCAGGATGTTTGGCACATATAAATGACTTTGACATATTCCTCCTATATTTACCACTTTATAGGAGGAATATAAAGTGGTATATTTACCACTTTAAATGCATATTGCCCACTGTTCGCCATTTTCCTAAAGCCAACAGGTGGAGGTGAGCCCGGGTGCAAGGGCCCTTTCAACGCTGCTTGCAGCTTAAATTTAAAATGTAATTTATTCCTGTGATGGGAAAGCTGAATTTTCAGCATCATTACTCCAGTCTTCAGTGTCACATGATCCTTCTGAAATTATTCTAATATGCTGATTTGCTGCTCAAGAAACAATTCTAATGATCAATGTTTTTTTCATGACTATTTGATGAATATTTCTTTGAAATAGATTTTTTTGGTAATATTATAAATGTCTTTACTCTTATTTTTGATCAATTTAATGCATCCTTGCTGAGAATAACTGACCCCAAAACTTTTGAATGGTAGTGTATTTTAATTTAAAATGTACTATACACTATTCAAAAGTCTTTTGAGTGAGTTTAGTGACGTGTGGCCAAGTATGGTGACCCATACTCAGAATTTGTGCTCTGCATTTAACCCATTCAAGTGCACACACACACACCGTGAACACACACACAGAGCAGTATTTCTTAGCAATATGTAACCCCTAAGCATTCCTGTAAAATTTGCAGTGTTCCACGGGCGGTACAGTGGAATGCTAACAGGTAAGCAGTGAAATAATTATAAAACATGAAAAATGAAATTTGGACAACGTAACAGAAAAATATCAAACCACTGTTTTGGTCAAAATAAACTCACATGTGACAACTTACCCCGGTCTCACCTATAGAGTATCTAAATGTGTTGCAAGCTAAATATGTTGTTGAGTTGGTTAATAATACACTCTACTCTCATTCTGCAATCACCTGTATAATGTTGCTGCAGTTCTCTTTAGTCCTTTAGGCCTGTTGGGCTTGGGTTCACCTGCCATGTTAATGTCTGTGAACAGAACCGGAAAACACGCATTCAATCTAAAGTTTCATTTTTACTTATAAAATGCAGATTTAAAGAAGTGCACAGAGTAATTATATGACATGAGCAGACATACGTATTAAACAATGACAGATGGCAGAAGCCTTTCAAAGTGACATCTGCAGCTCTTTGATAATTGTACTTTACCGGGTGCACTTGAGGCTGCTATCTAATGACTCTGTAATTATCACGGTGAACTGACATTATGGACACTTGTTGTTAAGTGGGAGTGCTCTGATTTGCATAACCACATGCTCGATGCATCCACCAGAGGGCACTCAACACCCACTCAACAGGCCCAGAACAATCCGGCATCTGTGCTCTTCCCCACATTTCAGCCTCCAGAGTCTTCTGGCTTCCACTTTATAACAGCAATGACAGGAGGAGAAGCAGAAAGAGAATAATGGATAGGCGTGAGGCAATGGAAGACATGGCTCTGTCACCCGATTTCATATTTCCAACACTCAAGCGAATTCATAGGTGAGGCTTGAGACAGCGAGAGGCGCCAGGGTTTGAGGGAGAGATGTCAGCCGTGATGATTTCCTTCAGCTCTGGGACTGATTGGCCAGTAGGGAACGAGTGGGGCCGTGAGAGTGACAGGTCACCGAGGCTGTCAAGTGGAAGCCAAAGGCTCCGTGGAGCATGAAACAGCGGCTAATCTGACCACCGAAAAAAAAATGTATGTCATCAAGCAGCTGCGGAGGGCTGGAGGGCAAACGAGAGATGGAGAAACAAAGATTGGAACCGAAGGAGACAGAGATCGAACTAAATTCGAGGCAAAGACAGGATCGCGCAGCCAAAGAGATAGAGACATAAAAGGTGGAAGCTAGCAAATGAACAACTGTCTGATGTCCTCAGCGTGACACGAACACCTGCCGCTGACACACCTGTCCTGTTCCTCATTTATCTGAGGGGGGTGGGGCATCAGCGGTCGGTTGCCCGGATACCATCACAGCTGAAAAACCAATCAGTGTCTAGAGGTCACCTTATAGAGGACGCACCATTACTGGCTGGTATGATAAGGCTTAAAACTACTTGATAACTGAAATAGTGCAGTGATAATACGACCCTACATTGACTGTGTGCAATTCATTTGAAGGGCACCATTAGGTGGCACACGCAAAAGACGCACATATTTAGACTTCACAGAACTTAGCTAGTGTGTACTCTAGGGCATGAAAGCAATTGTTTATTGGTAAGGTTATGTTCAGAATAACATCCTACAATATCACTCTTGCTATTTCCAGTAAAATAGCATTAATATGTATTCTGTACGGCAAAATGTGAAGTATACAACAAAGCATACTGCACAGAATAGTATACTGCACACTGCAATGCACTTAACTTGACTTTTCATTTCCAGAGCTATGATTGAACAGTAATATCAGCTGTATAGTTATTAACATTTCCTTGTGGAATACTTGATCAGACCGCTGTTCAATAATAATATAATATAATATCATATATAATTTATTATATATATATATACACAGTAAAATATAATATAATGTCATATAATATAATATAATAATAATTATTATTTTTGCTGCATATAAATAGCAGCAACAACAACAATTATTATAGTACTATTATTATCATTATTATATTACATAACAAATTTGAATTAAAAACTCTAAGTAATTGTTTTTGACAGATTTTAAAAGTTAGCTGTATCCAGTAAATAATAGTATAAAATTAGTATTAAATACATAAATCATTTTATCAATTAATAATTATATAAATAAATTAATCATTATTATTACAGTATAAATACAACAACATAGTAATAATAATAAACATTTCAGAAATATATCATTTATTATATTTAGATTATATAATTACAGATTATAGATAATTAAAAATGATAGGTAACTGTTTTTGATGTTTCTGCAATGTATCATACTACTGTTTGAAATGTTTATCATTGCATACATACTATATCACATACTATTAAAAAAAATTGTTGGCAGTATCCAGTAATTAGTATGCTATTAATTTAATTCCGAACTCCTGGCACAGTGCATGCTAACAACATTCCCTCTAGTAAGTGCCCTACTTTTATTACGAAACAATAATCAGTACATGTATTCAACAACTACATGAAAAAGCTCATTACAAACTTAAAATTCACTGAGAACCTTGAAGAACCGAGAATGGAGCTGATGTCACATTGTCCCCTTTATAATGTTGATCTACTTGCACTATATTGACCGCACTTTGACCCCGACACAGTGATGGCCAAAGGAAACTGCCATCAATAGATATTAATCTTAACTGCTTCAGTGTCATGGGGCTCGCTCTTGGCAGCAGTCATAGCACATGCTAACCAAACACTCTACGGGGCGCTTAAAACGTCAGTTTGCTCCTACAGCAAGTGTTGTGCACTTTCTTTTAACCTTGGAGAGATGTTATTCAGATGCGATATATAACTCACCAATACAGTTCACGAACAGATTAATATTATTGTCCAACTCACCGAGGGTTTGTCCAGCAAGCACACGTCCATTTTCTCCAATGACGGCTCCTCGAGCTTGTCTCTCATTAGCGTACTGAACGAAGGCGAAGCCTTTGTGAACCGAGCAGCCCAACACACGGCCGTATTTGGAGAAGATCGTCTCTACGTCGCTCTTTTTCACCACCGCTGTGTTCAGGTTGCCGATAAACACACGTGAGTTGATAGACTTGGGGTCATTTTTGTTGGTAATGTTGCTCGTCTGGACTTTCAGCGACATCTTGGTTCAAATGTGAATAGCAATCTGGGGGAGAAACAGATCACAGAAGTTTAGACCAAGAGCTGTATAATTAGGTACATTTTGGATACTGTGAAATGAACAAACCATATTCCTGACTGAAACAGACAAAAAAAGATCAATTGTATAGATTTCTTTAAAAAGAGGACTTAAAACAACAAGCCATGAGCGGTGTTACGATTACTTTTGTGATTAAACTTCCATTAATTGTGTAAAATCACTTGTTTTTTTAAATGGCAACAACAGAAATATGTAAATTAAAGATAAATAGTTCATTTTTAACACAATAAAATGATAAAATGTTAATTTTCAACAAATTCATATAATAAGAATTCATATTATAATTATTAATAATAATTATTAAAAATGTAATATAAATTATCTATATTCTGGTAAATTATTTATATAAATTAATATGAATAATATGAATAAAATTGTTTATTTAAACATGTTATATTATTATTAACAATATTATATATAACAATAAGCAATATTAATTTCTACATATTAAAAATGATATGTAAAAAATATATATGTTATTATTATTATTATTAATAATAAATCATCTAAAAATATATTTTTTAATATAAATAAAAAATATAAAAAAATTATATTGTCTGTCAGGTAATATAATTACTTCCCAAGCCAGACAATCCACAGAGCAATATAATAGATAGACCTACAGTATATCTGGGGCCTTAAAGGTGCTGATTTTGCCCTTGAGCAAACATTGCTCTATGAATCATCCTGAACATGGACACGCCCTGACCTATATATCGCCTAATTAATGAATAAGTGATCAAAGCTCTCCTGACACAAGCACAGCACATCTGATGTACTCCATTTCTCACAGGCAAGACCAGCTACGCCCTATGCAGTAAAATCAGACAGAACTGTAATTTCTGTACACTGATCAAAGTGTTAATGACAGGCCATAAGAACGAACAATCACACATGAGATCGCCATTGTATCTCAAGACTGTAAAGGGATTCAACTGAGAGGAAAGTGAGACAGACTTTTGCTTAAAGGGATAGTTCACCCAAAAATGCTGTATGAGTTTCTATTGAGCACAAATGTAGATATTTTAAAGAATGTTGGTAACCAAACAGCTGATGGTAGCCACTGACTTCCACAGTACTTTTTCCATACTATGGACATCAAAGGCTACCGTCAACTGTTTGGTCACCAACATTCTACAACCAAAGGTCTCAGAGTCTCAGAGATCTCATTATGAACTCAAACATTTGTCATTTCTGAGCGATTCGATCCACATAAATGTTTAGTATGACACCCACTATTCATAGTCCAATCAAAGGATAAATTACATGGAGGTAAAATGGACTGCATTTCAAAAGATCAACCTCCAATCAATAGATTTCCTCTGAGAAGGCTCTGCTTTGCTTCTCTTAAATTTTATAATGAAGGGACATGAGAAGATAAGAGTATTTGGACCTTATTATGAGGACAGAAAAGAAGTCTGAAGTTAAAAGACGTGGTGCTTCTGACCAAGTGGCCCACCACTGTTCCTTATTAGCAGCGTTTGAGTGCCGCTGAATGTGAAATCAGGAGAAAGTGAAGACCAAACAGCAAGTCTGTCAGTGTCATCTGACTGTGTCTCAGGTATGACAGAAATAAGGTGTTCTGTGAGGGCCGTTCGTTTTCAGAGCAAGCGAACAGGAAGGTCATTTAGTGCGAAAGAGACGTTTCTCCTCTAATTACTAGCTCCTCTGTACATCTCACATTGCTGGGGATTGTACAAGTCTTTGAAGCATGTGCTGTCTTTCTTTCTTCCTTGTTATAATGACTTGGGCAATAAAGGTTTTTGAACTGTGCTTTTTACTGCATGCTATCATCCCGCTCGCAGAAATAACTAGCCAATTCATTGCTTTGCTTGAATTCGCCTTTAAAATCCTGCCTCTGTGGGGCCCATTAACACCTGTTAAAGTGTTTCTAAAGAGTTTGGTAGTTGAAAGCGTCAGAGGGTTTAGAGATCATGGATTGTAATTAAATGATCGATTAGACTGGGAAAATACTGGACTGGATTCCTACATCACGCCATGTTGGACAGCATCCTGACTGAAAGCATTCATGCGGCTGAAAGACTCACGCTAACTTAATGAGCTGTGGGTTTCAGCGCTCCCATTTTTCCTCATTATGTCTTTCACACAATTAACCCATTCAAGCATATGAGTTTAATCGAAGTGAAACCAAAAAAGAAAAATAAGGATGCACCACATTGGCCATTTTTGTTGGATAAAACAAAAACAAAACAAAAAACTACAGGGTGATACTGATACTTTGTCATTTTTCCAATTTTAACTTTTTTTTGCTTTAGAAATACACATTTAAATGAACACATAATATCATCATAACATATAAACATACACCTTTCAAAAGTTTGGGATCAGAAAGATTAATCAAAAATATAGGAAAAACCCTAGCATATGAGTTTAATCGAAGTGAAACCAAAAAAGAAAAATAAGGATGCACCACATTGGCCATTTTTGTCGGATAAAACAAAAACAAAACAAAAAACTACAGGGTGATACTGATACTTTGTCATTTTTCCAATTTTAACTTTTTTTTGCTTTAGAAATACACATTTAAATGAACACATAATATCATCATAACATATAAACATACACCTTTCAAAAGATTGGGATCAGAAAGATTAATCAAAAATATAGGAAAAATTAAATATTATTAGTGCTGTCAAAATAAACGCATTAACGCATGCAATTAATTTTTTCAGTTTAACGCACCAAAAATATTTAAGGCAATTAACACAGGGGCAGAGCTAGGTTGTCCACAACTGATGCTTCTGTTCTTTTTTCTTGACAACAATTGAGTTTATTTAGAAGCAGAACATCTTTACGGCAACATGAAACTGGAGACTTTCACTGGAGCTTCAGAAGAACAACAGTGAACTGCGGTCTGATGAAATGTTGTTAGGCCATATGTCAGTAAAAACAAATTTTCCTGTCCGGTCAGCCGTTATACTGTGCTCGTAGCCATGGGTGTAGAATATGCAGAGGATGTGTCCCCCCTTATGACGTGCCAAGAAATCCCTAATGTGGACAAAGGCATCCAGACATCGCTGTAGCTAAGCTGAATAAAAAGCAGAAACGTTTTGACTGATGAAATGTGAAGACAATAAATACACGATTGTGACAATATATGGTTTATGTGTGTTTTTTCAAGTCATCTTCAGGTAATAATTAAATAAAATATATGAACGATGCAGTGCTAATTGACATATAATTTACTACAGTACAGAAACTATTAAATATAAGCAATTTTCTGCCTTATTCTGTGATCAAAATCACAGAATATATTAAATATATGAATGATGCAGTGCTAATTGACATATAATTTATTACAGTACAGAAACTATGAAATATAAGCAATTTTCTGCCTTATTCTGTGATCAAAATGGAAAAAGTGTTTGTAGTATAAACCAATCATAAAATTGTCAATCGTTAAATATTAAAAAAATTTAATTTCCTAGAGACATCAGCAGTATTGGTATCAGTGATACTCGCCTTCAATCATAAAAAAGATGCCATTAAACAAATATTAAAAATATACTGTCTTTATGTTGTTTCTACATTAATTTGAAGATTGAATGTGACATTATTGCAATATAAAAGTATATTTAAAAACTTTAATGTCATGTAGAATTAATTGCAATTCATAGCAATTTCAGAAAAAATGTGTGATTAATTATTTAATTTTTAATTTATTAACAGCACTAATTATTACATAGTATTATTAAAATAGCTTTCTATTTTAATATTTTAAATATTACTATTATTTTTTAATATTTTAAAATGTAAATTACTACCGAAATATATTTTTATTGTAAGCATGATACATTATAAATGTATACTGTCACTTTTTGATAAATTTAATGTAGCCTTGCGGAATAAAAGTAGTAATTTCTTAAAATAAATCTCTTACTGACCCCAAACTTTTGAATGTTAGTATAATTATTCTATTAGAATTATTCAAATGACAATATTTTCAAAAATATTATAGTGTCTGCACTTCTAAACAATAAATCCCACTTTTTACCAATTGTGGAAAACATAAGAACATTGTGAATATTACAATTATAAATGCATGTTTAAACACACACACACACACACACACACACACACATTACAAATACTTCAGAAGTTCAGGTAACTTAAAAGCATTCTCTTTTTACAACAAAAATTTTTCACCGCTCTGTTTTTTTTTTATGTATTACCTAAGACACAGCCATGATCCAAAATAATCTTTCTGAGTGAATTAAGAAAATTTACCAGCCATGAAACAGTATTTTGCATAATGTTTATTAAAAATATATTATTTAATTAAAAATATATAATAAAATATTTGCTATCTTTTTTCTTCTATTTTACAAAATGTGCTGATCACTCCACTGTAAAAATATATATTTGTATTTTATAAATTAAACAAACATTACTGTAGTAAGTTTTAGAAGACAATAATATTACACTTTTCTACTTCAAAATGTATTGTTTATTTCAAAATTTCTTGTTTAATTCATTGTGCTACTAGCTATTCTTTATAATTGTGTGTGAAATTTACTAGCAATTTCTGTGAAACTGTTTTAAATATTTTCTTTTTAGAGTATGTCACTCAAAGGATATACGCCAGATACTACCTCTTATCAAATAATTATATACTTGATTTGTTGATTTAATGTGAGCAACATATCACATTTCACCACTGGTGTCACGAAAAAAAGGTTTTCCTAATAAATCTTCTGATAGTAAAAACATCATACAGAAGAAGAAGTGTAAACAAACACTTGTATCATTTCATTTTCTCAATGCTTGACAACATCAGTCTAACACATAGTAGAAACATCTAAAACACCTTTCATGTGCAGATTTCATTGTGTTCACTGATTAGATTATGAGCAGGAAAACATATTATAGAACCTACAATGCAATATTTAAAATTACTAATAAAACAACATTAATTATTATTATTA